TCAGTTACGTACATTGCTGGTTTGTCTGTTACCCACTGAAATTAGCCATGAGAAACACGAACGTAACCCGTAAATGTGGTAAAAGATGCTTTTTGGCGAAGAACGACAACCAAGTATACTACAATCGTACATTAGCGGCTGCCTATATACAGGTAACCCCAAAATTTTTAAGCTTTTTCAATTTTAACCTTTAACACTACAATACTTTGATGTTTTAGCACTTTATCCTGTACCGTTTCCTAACCTCTACCAATGAATGTGAAGAACCTTCACCCGCGTTGTTCCCAATCCAAGATTTTCAGCCTCTACGCTCTATCGCAGAACCTCGAAAGACATTCCCTTTTCTTCCTATATCAAGGCGTGGATAAGTTTCCACAGAGAGAAACATAACCAACTTTTACAGGATTCCATCTTGTTGTTATGCAAAGAATTAAAGATGACGCTGTTGCAGTGGTAGACGCCATTGCTCCCGATGACTTTCATCCCAATTCCATTTTGGGCAAATTCCGATGGTCAAGTATACGAACACCTGAAAAATTCCACTTTTCAAGGTGAAGGAAACCTCGACCACCAAAATGGTGGTACGATATCATCCACACAAACACAACACATCAAAATTATAAAAAAATAAAGAAATTTTAGGTTAATGTACAAAAATATGCAACTTGCTAATGTTTTTACCAATCAATTGTTGGGTTAGCCCTCCTATATTATACATTTATAAAAGTGTTCCTGGGACCATAACCAAGTGTAATCAATATTTCTTTATGGTTTAAAATTGAGTACTGACGTCTCTAAGATCTTTTTTTCATGTATCTATCGAGGTTTTCTCACCTTCGGGATCAAAACGGACGGTTTCCTGTAATTTTCATCGTCGACAAAGCAGATTTCATGACCGTCGGGATCAGCAAAAGGATTACCACGAACTGTGGCTTTCAGGAGTGTCTAAGGAAATCAAAGAGTTTAAAAACAGTTTCATTAGCGAGAAGCTTTGACTGAGAGCATCAACATCTTCTTGGTAGTTTATGAATGGTGAAAGCTATACGTCCGTAAAGCAGCAGGCACGGTTTAGAGGCTCATGTAGAAGAAGAAAAAAAGAGGAAGAATATTGTTAGGTGATGGGTAAAAGGTAAAAATGTTTTTTTAGTTACCTATAAGTTTGTAATTCCAATTTTGCTTGCTCAGGAGCAAATCCCACAGTGACTTTATTTTTCTCCTGATGATAAATGTCCAAACCAAGTAACTTATGCCAATGATGGATCTTTTCAAGATTTGTACTGGCAAGTGTCACCTTTTTGAACAGGATCTTAAAAACATCAAAAATCATTTTTGACATTTTCCCTCAAAAATCAAGCAATTACCTTGATCAGTTGGTTTGTGGTTCATCAAAATAAAAAAACCTATACCCATCTGGTGCCTTTAACACATTCCCATGGCGGAATAGGATAATTCTGTTAGCTTGGCCCTCTCCAAAGCCTCTCTCTACTCTTGATTGTAATGCCAATACAAAGTCATTTACCAAGGTCATACTGCTTCACAGGATAGTTGGGTCAACTCAGCAACAAGAATAGGTATCTTCCGACCACATAACCAACCATAGTCTTACTCCACCGGTTATACGGTCTAATAATAAATAAAAATCAAAACAAATCAACAATCACCGTTGATTTCTTACCCGATACCAAGTCGCCTCACAACCATCAGCGAATTCTTCATGACGCAAGACTTTCGTACCGAGAATATCGCGGTAAAATGAGCGTGGCATTTGCGATCGCCAATTTAAAGACATATTAGAAGAGCACGACCGGCTAATTTCGACATTTTTGAGGATTATTTAATTGTTTATAGTATATTTTGTGTTATAGAGAGAGCAAAGTCGTGACTGAACTGAAGTGGAACTGAGTGGAATGTGGAAATAAATCGTTAAATCACTCCGAGAACGAGTGTACAGGTGTAATTATTATTGTGACCTTGTTAAATAAGGAGGATTTGTGTTTGTGTGAGCTATAATCGACAGAAACGGTGATAAATTATTTATCGTGTGACAGCAACTTTATTTTTCTATATTGTTTTAGTTGATTCAATAATTCGACTTAAGATGGCGCTACGTATTCAATATAAAGTTAAATTTGTTATCTTTTGCAGTGGGAAAGGGGATTTCTGCTACTCTGGAACTCTCCCATTGGCTATAAGGATAGTTAAAACGTAAATCTGAGATTAAATTTTCATTCTTAAGAAAAAATTGCCAAAAGGGGGTGCTTGATACTTTTCGACTTGATTTTTCAATTCATATCTCTTAAACTAAACACTGATAACAACCTACAAATAACTGATTATGAAGGTGGGAAAATTCTCTATCAGATAAAGATATAAAATAGTATATTTCCAACAGTAAAGGCCTAAAAACGCGACTAAAAAGTGCTAAAAAGAGTGAAATTTTGCAATTTTTGATGATTTTTCTTCAATCGCGAATATCTCGAAAACTAAAGAGATAATTAAGATCTGATCGCAGCATCTTAATCTACGGACCATTTTTCTATAAGATAGGATCCTCCTAGAACGAGTGCTCAGGTGTAATTGTGTGTGTGACCTTGTTAAATAAGGAGGATTTGTGTTTATTGTAGACAATAATCGGCAAGTGGTGATAAATTATTTATCGTGTGAAAACAGCATTTTCTATATTGTTGCATAGTTAATTCTATAAATTCACCTAAAGATAGCGCAGCAATATCCGATATAAGTTAAATTTGTTATCTTTTGCGGTGGGAAAGTTTCCGCTAGTCATGGAACTCTCCCGGCACAGATAACACAACTTATAGAATTAATTTTTGCAGGGGATTACTAAAGTAATAGAGTAGTAGTAATTACTAAGATGCTCCCAAGGTTCTGGCGAGTCTGTGAGAATGTTATTGGGTGGTGCAGATTGTGCAAATTGCACCCAACGCATGGGTGTAATACTGCAGCAGGAAAACCTGCTGTTACCGGTGCTGTGATAATGAAACTTGTCCCGAGTTTGGGCGCAGCGCGCGACGACTAATTACGGCTTATTGCAGCGCATCTATGCCGTATTAGGTGCAGCAGGGGATGGGGCCGTGCACGTGCTGTGCACCCTCAACGAAAGGTAAACGTTCGTCGGAGGTCGTTGAGTGTGTGATTACAACGATCGCATCATCGGAATCGGTGAGGTACGTTTTAATGATGAAATGATGAAATCAAGTTTTGCTTTGATTTTTGAAGTCAGCGTCATGAAAATTAGTAATAAATTATTAGTGTTTTATTGTAGCGTGATGAACATTTGTTTTTATTTGTTCTATGATAAATGTATTTACAAATTTTATTCAATCGCGAATATCTCGTAAACTAAAAAAGAGATAATTAAGTTCTGATCGCAGCGTTTTAATCTACAAACTATATATAAGATAGAATAGTTAAAACGGAAATCTGAGAGATGAAATTTTTCATTCTTAAGAAATTGCAAAGAGGGGGGGTGCTTGATACTTTTTTCGACATTTTTCGAAAATTCATATCTCTTAAACTAAAAACGTTAGCAACAACGGAGTACTGATTATGAAAGAATGGAAAATTCTCTATCAGATAAAAATATAAAATAATTATATTTCCTACTACCGTAAAAGGAGCCTAAAAACGCGATTGAAAGTTAGCACAAAAGTGACATTTTGCAATTTTGACGATTTTTCAATCACGGGCTATCTCGTAAACTAAAAGAGATAATTAAGTTCTGATCACGCTTGTTTTAATCTACGAATTATTCTCTATAAGATAGGCTGAAAGATTCAAAACGAAAATCTGAGAAGATGAAATTTTTCATTCTTAAGAAAAATTGCAAAGGGGGTGCTTGATACTTTTCGACGATTTTTTGAAATTCATATCTCTTAAACAAAAACATTAGCAACCAACGAATTGCAGATTATGAAAGATTGGAAAATTCCTATCAGATAAAAATATAAAATAATTATATTTCCTACCGTAAAGGCCTAAAAACACATTGAAAGTGCTAAAAGTGACATTTGCAATTTTTGCTCATTTTATTCAATCGCGAATATCGTAAACTAAAAGAGATAATTAAGATCTGATGCAGCGTTTTTTAATCTACGAATTATTCTCTAAGATAGGCTAGTTAGAACGGAAATCTGAGGTAATTTTCATTCTTAAGAAAAATTGCCAAAGGGGGTGCCTTGATACTTTTTTTTTCGACGATTTTCGAAAAAATTCATATCTCTTAAGAAAACTAAACACTGATAGCAACCTACGAATTGCTGATTATAAAATATTAGAAAATTCTCTATCAGATAAAAATATAAAATATTTTAATTTAATGGGGTAAACGGTTTAAAAACACGACTGAAAATGCTAAAAATTGATATTTTTAAAATTACAAAAATTTTAATTTGTTGAAAAATCTTTAATTACTCATAAACTATATTTCCAATATTATTTAAATTTTACACACCTATTATCAACAAAATTGTTTACCACTGTACCAGAATTCTGCTCATAATATTGATTTCCACCAAAGTTACAAGCAAAAAACTTTGTCACAAATAACCTTCATCTAAGATTGAAGTTATTCTTAAGATTAAAATAAAGATAAATACAACTCAAAGTTAACGTTTATGCCATAAAACATAAAAATATTTATTATTGCGTATAAATTATGAATATTTTTACGACGCCATCATTTTCGCAGCAATAAAATAATAATTACCAAAATTCGCGCATTTTGCGCAAATCTGGTTGCATAACTAGCCATACACGCTAAAGTTCGCAAAGTTTAATGGACATTTTAATTGATCCTTTGATCCTTCACTCACTACGTCTCTGAAACAATTACGTTTGATCAATTCAAGGCCAAAAACTCCTATTACAAAGACACACAACGAGATAACCTCTCAAAACAGCATAAAAATAAACCTTGAATGTCTTAACCTTAAAATTTCATTCTATTTGTGCAGGAACATAATTACTTCAAGTGCATTTTGCTTCAATTTAGTACTTTCCGAAGTCGGAAGTGCGTGTTAATTGAATTGAATTGCATCGAATCGAAAACGCCTCGAGTCTGACAATAATAGAATAGTGGAAGGTACTAAACTCGAGAGTCGAGAGTACAAAATGGCGAACGTTAAACGTGTCGTTTTTTATTTTTGCTGCCTGCAGCCCGAACTAGAGAGCAAGTCATTTTGATATTGATATCATCGGTTCCATCAAACGCATCCCGCATCCCGGGTACTTGATTTTATCGACGGGCGAGTTGTAGGACTTTCAAAGCGGAAGTGCAAAAGTCCTGCTGATGGCATGAAGAGCGACCGTAATGATGGAGAGGACAAAACCGGGGAGAGATAAATCGATTTCTTTAGAATTTTCAACTTAATTCAGGAAAATAGTTGTTTTGTGCAGCTTGGGGAGAGATTTAAAATACGGAATACGGAAATGCGATTGTTTTTCCAACTTGGAATTGGGTCTATCATGACGACTGCATTTAATGAGGGAAAGTTTGAAGGTTTTAATGCGCATTATGCGAGATAATACGTTATACAACTTTTCATATCGAAATAATACTATTGTTTTTCATTATTGTGTACTTCGGTTTTGTATTTTTTGGGTATAAATTTATTTTGTGTTTAAAACTAATTTAATAAAATTAATGTTTTTAGAATTTAATTTTGTGATTTTAAAACCGGAAGTGGACAAAAAAATAAACCGGAAGTTGAAATATTTTTTCATAAAATTATTTTTTGGGCAATAACTATTAAAAATAATATGAAACATATAGAGGAAATTTAAAACCGGAAGTTAACCGGAAGTGGCCATTATTTGTCTAAAATATGAAAGATTTTCATCGAATTTTTATTTTTTTAAACATTTTTCTGATAAAAATGAGTTTTAATAGTGAATATTTCAATTTCTGGTTTGTTTTCTGGCCACTTCGGTTTGGAAATGTGTACCAGAATTGCATTTAATAGGTGTGCGGAGGCTTCAGTTAAGTTTGGTATGCCAAACAATTAAAGATAAACATCGAATTAAAACTTGACTCGGTTGCGACTTGGAAACGGCGGTTTTGAAAGTTCAATTTACGATTGCGATTGTTCGCCAGAGCGGGGCGCACGCGACCCCTTCAATTAAAATCAATTTTAATTACCGTCGGGAATACGCGGACTTGTAACTCGGACAGGAAGCAAACGCTTCAAGTTGAACTAAACTCAACTAAAAATAGGTCCTAACCCACAAACCACAAAAGATAATTAATTACTGAGAGTGATTAGAAATAGAATTAAAATTAAAATTAAGATGAAAGTTTTATTTTATTTGCTTTGAAAATAAATATTTGAATGTTTTATTTTTTATTTTCTAGTTTTTATTAGAAGTATAATTATTGTGTTTTTGTGTGCAGAAACTGTTTTGATTATTCGTGTAGGTTGTTTTTCTTATCGCTTGTTTGTTTACATTGGGATTGTGATAAGATGCGAAGAATACGCGTAGATTTTTATTCTCTTCAGTGTGTCTAAGGCTTGTGTAGAGTGCAGTGCGTTGAGTGCAGTGTATATAATTTTTAATTTTAGACAAAAACTTTTGAACATTTTTTATTGAAAATTGGAAAAATGGAAATTCAAGAGAGGAAAATTCAATATTGGCATCGTTTTTGTTGAATTATAGGAATTTCAAAAGGTAGATTTTATTACATTTAATTTTTTTTATTATTAATATTACTATTAGTATTATTATTCTAACGGAATATTTTGTTACAGGTAGGTTCCTGGGATGGCAGCAGTC